GGGTGGGGGGGGGGATGGTGGGGGTTAAAGTCTAGATCCAGTGGAGTTATGGCAGTAATTTTAAACTTTCGATCTTAAAATGCAGCAGATGCAATCGTTATCTATCAGAATATAAAACTCGCTATTTGGTAATAAAGTTGAGGGGTAATCACGTTCGAATTTTACCTCTTTAATCAAAATGAGTTTCTTATTTTATAAACTAAATTTATTTACTATGGAGATTTAACCGATTTTGGAAAGGGAAAATTAGATTTTCATTCTAAAGACTTTCAATTCAAGCTGAAAAATAAATCTAAAGCTCACAAACATCTTTCAACGCTCATATTGGTCCTGTCCGGTGAGAAACTCGATTTTCACCAACTCCTTTATCATCCAGACCTAATCTCTCAGTCTGAGTATATCATTGATGCATCGAAGTGGCGGCATTGAATGTTAAAGAAAAATCGAATTAAATGCTGCAAAACCGTTGTATATGAAAAAAAGGCACAATCATTTTTTTCACCAAACATCTGTTTGAAGTTCCGACCCAACGAGGTCTAGTAGCTCCTTTTTAAACCTGTCAAAAGTAATGCGTTATTTCCATTTCCAACTGTGCTAGGTAGATAACACGACCACCCGTGAATAGGAAAAAGCCCCTGCCGCTCTGAATCATATCACATATTGGCAGAAATTGCCCATTCGTCCGTGGTTTTTTTGGGCATTCAATAGGAACATAATAGTGTTTTCATGGGCTTATAACTGAAACCCCTTTTAGCCTGATTCCACATGTTTGCCGTTAATTTCAAATCGCGCTTCAGTGCAACTTATTTTAATAAAATATTTCATCTTAACATAGAATGTTTGTGATTATAAATCTCGCACTTTCAATGCTGGATCTTCATTACTGTTTGCCTGCTTTAATCAATTTCCAACAAAACTTCTGATGCGTCGTGGTCATTGATCAATTTTCCAAAAAGTAAGAAATTTCGGGCCTGATATTGGAAATAAGAACAATCAAATGCATAAACCCCTGCGAACAAAAATGTTCAAATCCTGATTGATGTAAACAAATAAATTGAGTAATTAATTGATATAACTATTTAGTATCGCCTTCACTGGGTGAATTGGTCAAAGACTTTGGAGTATATTCGATTATTTAAATTTGTGCGAATGCGCAAACAGACATCTCTTTAAATTTAAAAACAGAGTAATCTTCCAAATCCAATTTTGTAGACTTGGAGATACGAACTTTTATAGGTGTTAAACTTTTACTTGTTTATGAAGCACACACACAAAAGTGTAAATGTACTTTCTTGGAGAAGCAGCATCCGATACAGGTTTGAAGTCCCTCTGGACTGAAATGCATCAATCGTTATTTGTGCTGTTATGATTTGTAACCTTTTGCAAAGTTCCAGCTGTTCAGTCTGCGGTTAGTGGAGAAGAGAATGGTGTAGCTCAGAAATTTCTTAATATGTATGGAGAATTGGATTCGCGATGATGATGATGATGATGATTGGCAGTCTGACTAGCCAACTAATACTGCTACTAGTTCCTCGCTCGTAACTTTCCACATTCAAGTTCTAATCCAGAGATTCAAATAACCGGCGAAGCCTCTCTCAGTCTTGTTGAATTGCCTAGAAACATTCAATTCAGCTTTCTAATAGAACTCGATCAAGCTGAAATTCCACTATTTCAAAGGAGATGGGGAGGGGAGAGATCATTTCTATTTCATCAGTCTGCCCTACCATCAATTGGTCTATTATCACTTGCACATCTCTCCATCTACCACCTTTCAACTCCTTATTTCGTCAAATTAAATAAATTAAGATGATTAAATACATCGCCCGTAATTTCTACGGAAAGCCATCAAATGGCCGCTATAACCTAATTATCCTCAAAATAGCCAAAAATCCCAGAAATCTATAATAATAATACACAAATACCTGCAAGATTGACACTGATTTTTGTGTAAAACTTATTAATTTTTATCTAACAAAAAAACAACAACTGCTACTGCCAATTAGGGATACAAAGTACACCAAACCCCATATCTGCCAAATTTCTGCTTTAAGATCTCAAGAGAGTGATGCG